AAAAGAAAAAAAAAAAAAAAAAAAAAAAATGTAAAAAAAAAAAAAAAAAAACAATGTACCAAATGTTTGAACCAAGGCCTTCCAAAGAGACCATCTTGATCCGTAAATGCCCTTTCTGTCAACATCAACCTATCATTGAGTTCTCGAATTTTAATTGGGTCATTCATCCACTTTGAAAATAAAGCCTTGTCTTCCAATTCCTATATTAGTTTCAGAATTTTAATGATATGAAAAATCTGAAGTTCTCAGAAATAAACCATAATTTCTTTCCAATAAAAGGCCAACTCGTAAGATACCTTCCTCTGGTTCTCTACGTTGGAAGCTGCCTCTCTGAATTTTTGTATAGACTCATGTAATGGCACCAAACTCACTGGCTTTCCTAGCAACTTATTTTCCAACACCTTTAAGCTTTTCTGGTTAATACAAGTTAAAATTTACAGAAAGCCAAGTATCAGAATGTGAAGTAAAAAAAATGAAACTCAACCTTGCAGTAAAAAGATTGGCTCACTGCAATGCATACCATACCATAAAAAAGTGATTTAATATATATATTTTTTTAAAAGGAGGATTTACATGCATTCCACTCAATCACTATGCATTTATATATCTAACATGTAAACTTCAATTTTTACATACGTGCTACTTTACCCATGCATGTAAAGATGTATTTCACTTTATAAAAAGTTAAAATTGTGGCGTTTTTTATGAGATATGAATGATTTTGGAGAAATAAATATAAAAACGTTGTTTCACCCACCCACCCCGCCCAAAAAAAGATTTACCAGCAGGTTGTAGAAAGTGTACCTGGAGCTCATATGCATAGGACATGTAATCAAAAGGCAATAACACCTCATCTGCCAACTTTAAAGCCACTAGACCCAAAATGTTTGCAGCTATAATGAAAATAATCAGCTAGGATGAGAGATTCTATATTTCAAGTTCTCGAACAATAATTAACAGAATAAAAAGGTGTATAAGAGGAGCAAATATTACATGTGACGACCGCACATCCGAACGATGGTTCGGATGGGCCGCCGTGCGATACACAGAGGCGTGATCACATTCGGACTGTCGTTCAGACGTGTGGTCCGCCGCACGTATTATTTTCGCGTGCAAGAGAGATACCAGTTAGCCATATTATTTTCAATAAAAAAATTGCATTGGTAAGCTTATGACTCATTATAAATCATTGTATAAAAAATGCACAACAAATAATTAAAATGAAGGAAAATTTACATACACACGACCAAATTCTTAAATATTTACATAACTAAAACCTAAAATTTCATATTTATATTTATAACACTATGGTGTGATAAACAATGTATGAAAAGGTGTGTTTCGCCTTTTAAAAGTAGGTGGTAAAGATATTTTAATGTGATATGAAAGATTTGAGTGCTATACATTTAAAAATTAAGGTTTGGATTTTAGGTATGTAAAGGCCCCTTAGATAAAATGAGAGTTAATACAATGATATAAAGCGTTTGTATAACAACTATAAGATAAATATTTTGAACTATAAAATTATTGATCCAAGTGCTTTCTTACATAATTCAATTTGTAAGTGTGAGCTCAAGGGTTTAAAATATAAAGTGAATAATCAAGAGCTGCAATGATTTCGGCTTTGGTTAGTAGAGTACTCTAAGCTATTCATATTGAATTGACTACATAAAATCAATGAAGGCCACATTAGATAAATTTAAAGATGGTCTATAATTATTCAAAAAAGACTTTAGATGTTACAACAGTTATTTGATAATTTTTAGAAATTTATTTAAATTGATTTTCAATTTATTTGAATTATTTCATACTTATTGATAATAGAAAATTATTCTAAACATTTTTTTATTGATGCATGCATATATACTATTTTAAATATTAGTTTACTAGGAAACTTATACCTGAAATGAACTAACAGGAGAGTTGCCATGAACGCAACAACTAGCCCACAAGCATGAGAACTGCCTTGCTGCTTTCACCACAACTAGAACTCTCGAAAAACTCCGAGCCAAGTGAAAGAACTCAAGAAAATGTGGAAATAAACCAAGCGACCCCCCTCCTATTTACAGCAGAGAGAATAATTCTCTATGGGGCCTATTTCACTAAACCAAATTCATATAAACATATAAAATATGACCTTTTAAAAACATACGAACGACTTGTAATCTACAACATATACATGCAGGTAGAAAAAAACTTTTCAAAACTAATAAATAAATATTGCACGCATTCTAATGATAAAATATTCATGCAAATAATAAAATTGAATAATTTCAAGTTCTATGTGAGTTTTATGAGACAATCTCCAACTCAAATACAATACATTGGAAACCATGCAAGTATGTTGAAAAGAGTACAAATGCAACATGCAAGTGCATTAATGAACGGGCAAGCGTATTAAAAATTATGTTAGCGTGTTGTGCAAATGCACCAATAATTGTGCAAGTTCACCATATAGGATGTTAAGTGCATTATACAAATGCACAGAAAAGCAAGCAAATGCATCATGTAAAAGCATTAAAAAAAACATGCAAGTACATTAAGTGCATCAAAATTGTAAAAATAAGTTACATGAAATCATTGAAAATTGTGCAAGTGTGCTAAAAAATGTGCATGCCTCCAAAATGACAAAAAATTACCAAAATTATTTCATCTATTGCACCAAAAAATATAACAATTTGCATAGAAATATAGTATAAGAAAGCTGCACAAACTAATATAAATCGAACTCAAAATATACAAATACTCTAAAAGAATAGCAACTATTTCAAAATGCAAAACTCTCTTTTTAAATTTATTTAAATTCATCAAGCTATGCATACTCTTGAGCGGGTCATCTCACTTATATGATAAAATTGTAAGTCTTACTTAACAAGACCGATTCTCCTCCCATTAGAGACTGGAGTTAAAGAGACATACTTTGAAAACATTGAAATGAACTTTAACAAAATTGCAAATGGACAATGAATTACTCTTACTCTTGATCTAATCCGACAAACTGACATCAACATAGATTAAGAACCAAACACTCGTAGATTTTATCAATATTTTTTGTGCTTCATTTGTAAAAGGCCATCAATGCCTCTCTCAAGGAAAATTCATTTTAAAATGAGAAGCTTTTAGTACAATACCTATAAAGAATAATCGCAAACTCAATTCACTTATTGATCCTGTCCATATGGTGGTAAAATCGATGTAGTCAGTTATGCACAGAACATCAAATAAACTTAAACCATACACAAATTATGGATCTAGTTCTCTGTAAGTAGGCGAGTAGAGATTACATTGTAAAAAACAACTAGATGAAAGTACAGAAATTACAATTATGGTGATGTGTAGCTATTGCATATCATAACTAGAGACTTCCCTTTTAATAGTTGAACATTTTAATTATAAATGTGAATGATACAAATGACCTTTAGCTTGATGATAGTTGCATTGCTAGAAAATACCAACAAACAGAAACTCTATTTTCAAAATGCTCCTAAATTCCAAAGTAAATCATTTTTGGTTGAAATCAAAATAATAATAATAAAAACTTCAGAAAATTATAAAAAGTAAAATATTCAAGCAAAATTTATTTGTTAAAGTTGAAAATCAAAATCCACACTCTACTCAATAATTTGCCAAGGATGATAAATTTAAAATAACCCCCGCCCACAAAGAGCTAGCCAACATCATACCAAATATGTATATAATTACTCTCAAAAGGTCCCAATTTAGTAAAATTATGTAACGTGTCATTTAATTATATGATTTTGTTATCTGAATGACACCACAAAAAGAGTAATTTCAATCGAGGCCCTTTGAACTGGTTGTTCATTGTGAAATAATACTATTAAATTAAGTTCATAACAAAAGTCCACAAGTTTGATTTCCAATGGCCTAAATCCCCTGAGTGAATCATGTAGTGCCTTGATAGGGAATAAAGCCCTTTATTTTATAAGGTCAATTTAAAATTATCTCCTTAAACAAGCATCCACCCTAGATTTATAAGATTCTTTCAAACGACACAACTAATGACAGTTGACAAGAATCATTCAATCAGCTGAATCGACTTCCTCAATTGAGTAAACCTGGGTCCATGACATTCTGAGATGACATAACGATGGGATCATGATCTGGTTTGTTGCCATTCCCAACATACGTTCTTAGTTGAAGTTGATGAATTTCATCTATTTAAAATTAAAATTGCTGCCACCAAATACAAAAACATTTGGCATCTAACTACTACAATAATAAAAAATTTCATTTGATTAAGAAGGATAATTAATCATAAGAGCTTTAGGCAACGTAAAAACAAATCTTAAAGTCCTCATAAGATGGGTTAAAATCTTTGAGCAGTTTCTTATAAATTTAATGTCTTATGAAAATTTGACTTGAAACTATAAATTTTCTTACCGGCTGCAACTTCTTGGAGCCCACATTAAACTGTGTGGTGTATTTTGTTCGTAGATATAATTTTTAAATTAATTAGCTTCTATTAGTGCATTCAATTATAAAAGCCTGAATTTAGGATTTAGAAAAAAGCTCTAAAGTTCCTTATTACAAGCTCTATTAAACCCAGCTTGGCAACACTTATTGTCGTTATCGGAAAAAAACAACCCTCAAACAAGTGCTTTCTCCTAAAAAAAAATTCCTTTTGCTTGTAACTTTGACCAAACAAGCTTCTGTTTTGTTCAATTGTCTTGCATTCTTAACACAAAAAATGCATTAGAAGCTCCTAGTGCAATTATTTTCCCATTATTTTCACTTAGATGCAAATTATTAAAATCTGTAAGTAGGCGAGTAGAGATTACATTGTAAAAAACAACTAGATGAAAGTACAGAACTTACAATTATGGTGATGTGTAGCTATTGCATATCATAACTAGAGACTTCCCTTTTAATAGTTGAACATTTTAATTATAAATGTGAATGATACAAATGACCTTTAGCTTGATGATAGTTGCATTGCTAGAAAATACCAACAAACAGAAACTCTATTTTCAAAATGCTCCTAAATTCCAAAGTAAATCATTTTTGGTTGAAATCAAAATAATAATAATAAAAACTTCAGAAAATTATAAAAAGTAAAATATTCAAGCAAAATTTATTTGTTAAAGTTGAAAATCAAAATCCACACTCTACTCAATAGTTTGCCAAGGATGATAAATTTAAAATAACCCCCGCCCACAAAGAGCTAGCCAACATCATACCAAATATGTATATAATTACTCTCAAAAGGTCCCAATTTAGTAAAATTATGTAACGTGTCATTTAATTATATGATTTCGCCCACAAAGAGCTAGCCAACATCATACCAAATATCTATATAATTACTCTCAAAAGATCCCAATTTAGTAAAAGTATGCAACGTGTCATTTAATTATATGATTGTATGTAACGTGTCATTTAATTATATGATTTTGTTATCTGAATGACACCACAAAAAGAGTAATTTCAATCGAGGCCCTTTGAACTGGTCGTTCATTGTGAAATAATACTATTAAATTAAGTTCATAACAAAAGTCCACAAGTTTGATTTCCAATGGCCTAAATCCCCTGAGTGAATCATGTAGTGCCTTGATAGGGAATAAAGCCCTTTATTTTATAAGGTCAATTTAAAATTATCTCCTTAAACAAGCATCCACCCTAGATTTATAAGATTCTTTCAAACGACACAACTAATGACAGTTGACAAGAATCATTCAATCAGCTGAATCGACTTCCTCAATTGAGTAAACCTGGGTCCATGACATTCTGAGATGACATAACGATGGGATCATGATCTGGTTTGTTGCCATTCCCAACATACGTTCTTAGTTGAAGTTGATGAATTTCATCTATTTAAAATTAAAATTGCTGCCACCAAATACAAAAACATTTGGCATCTAACTACTACAATAATAAAAAATTTCATTTGATTAAGAAGGATAATTAATCATAAGAGCTTTAGGCAACATGAAGATGGGTTAAAATTTTTGAGCAGTGTCTTATAAATTTAATGTCTTATGAAAATTTGACTTGAAACTATAAATTTTCTTACCGGGTGCAACTTCTTGGAGCCCACATTAAACTGTGTGGTGTATTTTGTTCGTAGATATAATTTTTAAATTAATTAGCTTCTATTAGTGCATTCAATTATAAAAGCCTGAATTTAGGATTTAGAAAAAAGCTCTAAAGTTCCTTATTACAAGCTCTATTAAACCCAGCTTGGCAACACTTATTGTCGTTATCGGAAAAAAACAACCCTCAAACAAGTGCTTTCTCCTAAAAAAAAATTCCTTTTGCTTGTAACTTTGACCAAACAAGCTTCTGTTTTGTTCAATTGTCTTGCATTCTTAACACAAAAAATGCATTAGAAGCTCCTAGTGCAATTATTTTCCCATTATTTTCACATAGATGCAAATTATTAAAAAAAAAAAAAAAGAAACGCAGAAACTACCTGCCACATGCCTATGAAACAACGATTTCCACATAGAATCAAATTAAAAAAAAAAAAAAAAAGAAACGCAGAAACTACCTGCCACATGCCTATGAAACAACGGATCTCCAAATTTTTGCATCCATAAGAAGTCATCATACATGGAGTGGTACACGGGATAATCTATAAATCATTTCAGCAATAGATTAGAAACTTCCAGCAACCCCAAAAGAGAAATATTTAGAAAAAATTAAAAAATTAAGAATAGAAGATCCTTAAAAAGTTGATATAAAATTTACAAACAAAAAAACATGGATACCTCTTCCAAATCTCATATCAACTGAAGGGATACCAACATGCTGAACAAAAGCCTCATAATCGGATCCACCACCACCTAACCTCCTTATCTGTCGATATGGACTTCAAAACTCATTTTCAGTTCATATAATATTGCTTTACAAGCTTAAATGTAGAGGAAAAAAAATTGGACCAGGAAGGAGAGACTCCAAAAATTAATGCCATTACAACATGTAATTTTAATTTATAGACAACAGAAGAAAATCAAAGAGATTTGCTATAAAATCTGTGACAAAATGATAAAAAGTTAAAATAATTGCATGTATTGAGCAGAACACCTAACATTGAAGATAATGGAGAGACCCCATAATAAATACAATAATCTTACTGAGAAATTATAAATTCATGAAGATGTTTGTTGTAAAATATAAGACAGCACAACAAAAATATTAGAACAAACTAATCTAGTTTGAGGTATTTGGTGTCATGTGCCATATACCGACAAGGCGCGTGAGAAATAAATTCATGCAAAATGGTGCCCATTCGTATGAGAGTTGGGTTTGTTATCCTCACTGTTGGAGCATGAAGCCTACAACACCCGAAGAAGAAGAACTTTGGAGGTGCTCCTGTGCTGCTGAAATTGCGCTCCTGCGCCACTTTGGAGAGGCAGTGTAACTATGCCAGGATTGGCCTAGCTATGCTGAGGTCCCCCGTTCCAGGCTTATGAAACTGAGCAAATGAAATAATTACAACTCTTCTAGGTGTAACTACGCCGCTCAGACAATTGTTTTGGATTCGGCTCTTAATTTTTTATTCGAGCGATGAAGAGTAATATTCTCGTGTGTGTGGTATTTCTCGACTGGAAATCTTGGTGAAGGTGAATTGTCAGAAGAGATTTCAGGAGGAGGGCTTTCTCTTGTGAGATCGAGAGAGAGAATTGGAACAAAGTTATGTAAGTTTTGTAGAGAGAAGATTTGAATGTGTATCTTTGTACGTTACTCTCATTCATAGTAAACTTTTGGTGTGATGTCGTTCGCTGGTTTTTCCTGTTTTCATGTTTTTTCACGTAAATCTTGTTGTGTTTTTCTTATATTACTTTGTTATGCTTTTGTTCGATTTCTTTTGTGTCATATTTCTCGAATCAATGTTCCTGTTTTCCGCAGTGTGATTTCGATTGTGACCAATTGAAACCCTCAGCGCATATTCCGTCCCAACACCCAGTCACCCATTTTTTATTCCATAGGTTAAAGAGAAGAAACATAATTGAATATTCTAAGGACTTGTTTGGCATCACTTTTATTTTTTGTTTATATTTTTATTTTTTATTTTATTTTTGAAATCATATTTGATTGATATAAATTATATAAATTTTTATTTTTTGTTCCTAGGAACAAATCAAATTATTTTTGAAAACAATCAAAACACCTAAGAAGATGTTGAGCGTTTTTAAAACAACAACCTCAATCTAACATCTTTTAATTTGAATCAAAACATAAAAAAAATAAAATAAAAGTAAAAAAAATAAAAAACAAAAAGTAAAAAAAAAAAAATGAAGTGATCCCAACGGCCTCCAAGGAAATTCAACGTCTATTGTAGTCGCATATAGCTAGTAAGCCAAACAGTACTTACCAGAGGAGAATCACTAGCAACCCAAGATTCAAATAGAGTCTGCGACGAATTGTCTGGATCTTGAACCTTCACAAATTAAAAGAAAAAAAAAGAAAAAACAAGTAATGTTTCGGTTACAAAACCTAATAAAAATGCAGCATATATGCACATACTAAGAGGAAGTAATCAAAGCATATAGTATGCTAGCTTGACGTCATACACAATTTGAAGAAACTATATCCTGCAGCATTCAGATTGGCAGGCCCATGACCATTTTATGTTCTAATTTTGCTTTAAAGTGCTGATTTCAGCGCACATACTTCCCAACTATAGGAATTATTATAATTATCTCGGTTATAGTTAGTAAGATAATATATAAGAGCTAATAATAATCTGATGAGAATCAGGTGAGACATAATTCAAATAAAAAAGAGCAAACAAGATAAAGTGTCAAAATAATCCCCAGGCTATTTACAAGAGGCCATTTTAGACCTAGAGTATATAGAAGTGCCAAATTAATCAACATACTCTTTAAATTGCGGTTGAAATAGTCCTTCGTGGAGATTATTTAGTCCATAATAAAAGATCAGTCTAGGGATTAAATTGACATTTTATAGACTGGGACCAAAATGACTAGCTGAAAAAAGTCGGGAGACTATTTTAACGCCTTCAAAAAAGTCAGCAAAAAGATCAACTCACAAAGCGTATGAAGGTTTTATGCAGACTCATCTAATTGAACGCTGTCATATTAAAATCATTGTATATTTCATTATAAATGTAAAGTTTTAAAGACCTAATCACATCCATAATCTCTCTAACCTATCTCACATCATGATGGCACCCTTCCTCCTGCCATAATGACCAAAAGGCGAAAACAATAAAAATTATAGTGCAGTCACAAAAATGCCCTTAACCATCCCAGTTTAACTGTACTTAATGAGTTTCTTTCCAGGACATAAACACAATTTAACAAAATCTTTAATGAAAAAGCGTGCCTGAAATTATTTGAAAGTCACAATTTTTCAATTCACTTTTTCTTAAATTAATGACCATTGCTTATGTGGCAAAATATTTTTGTGACTTAAGAAAATATTTAATCAATACTTTCATAAAAAGTTGTAACTGAAACAGTTAATCATAGAAGTAATAGTCATACATCTCTAAAAAAGTTTTAACAAAATTTCAAAATAGCAACAGCTTATCAGAAAGTTAAGAATATGTTTAAAAATATTACTTGAGTACTTAAGTGTCTAAAATTAGTATTTAGCTACACATAAGAAATATTGAATTCTGGATCAAACAATATATATAATAATTAAGTTAAATAAAGAAGGAGCCACCATTTTTGCTGCCTTTTTGAGAAGTTCATCAAGTTGTGGGGTTGAGGAAGCATGGAATCCATGATTAGATACTGCATAGTCCATGTTAAGATAAGCTACAGCTCTTGAGGCTAAAATCTCTCTGTTATCTTCAACCCATTCCGTTGAACCAATCTGTAGTAAAATCGATGCCATATTCAGCAAGACAGGACAAAAAATGAAGCGTAAAGCTGACCAAGAAGAAGAACGGTAGAGGAAGAGAGACCAAGTGATGCTCTTCTGCATCCCAACTACACAATATAATGGTTCTACGAGGTTTCCATCCTTCTTTTTGCAGCTTGGCCAATCTTTGGGCAACCTAAGAATGCACAAATAAAAAAAATATTTGCAATAAAATTATGTTAGGCTAATCGATCTAACGTTCCTCAATATTTTTTCTCCAAGGAAAACTTACCCTTTCAATGCAAGAAGCTCTAGCTTCAAATATGTCAAAAACCTTAGCACCCGAAACATTGCTATTTACAAATCTAGCACCCTTTTTCATCCAATTTTCAAATTCTCACTCAAACATCAAAAAATTCATGATAAAAACTCAAGCCATATTTTTCATTTTCATAAAATTCTCAATGATTTGATCATGACACATATAAATACATCAGTTCAGTAGTTCAAAAATATCACTTGGATGCTAGATTTTGTAAATAACAATGTTTCGGTTGCTATGGTAATTATCCCAAAACCTTAGGGCCAGTTACATATATAGCACCCGAAACATTGCTATTTATATCCCTTCTTTCATTATCTACATAAAAATTCAAAATCTTTCCAAAGCCTATAATCATTTTCTTGCATTTAAAAAAAAATTACGATTCTAATTTGAACCTTAACATATAAGAAAATAAATTTACGAAAAATTCTAGATATCATTATCTATCAAATGTTAGAATACCTTATGGTTATCTTTGATTTGAGGAATGTAAAGGTAATTAAATTTCCATGTAAAAAAACAATGAAATGAAATACAAATGTATAAGTGATTATGATACAATAATCATCGATATAAAGCTTTTATCCCTTATCCCAAAATAAATCAAATGGAGGCAAAATCTATCTTAACTAAAATTTGATCAAGACAACCTCGCCAAAAATCTATCTTAACTAAAATTTGATCAAGACAACCTCGCCAAAAATCTATCTTAACTAAAATTTGATCAAGACAACCTCAACATTAAACCTAATCAAACTTTTCTAGATAAAATTTGGGGTTTCTTGATCTGCCTTTTCATTAGGTTACATGATTGATAGATTTCCTACTTACATCTGGATTACCTCTAAAAGAGCAGCAGTTCCACTATTTGGGTCAACTGCGCCAAATGTCCATGCATCATAATGGTTGCCGACAATAACATATCTGCATATTCAGATATAGATAATTTAGTTTTGCACATTAGTTGAGGAATTTATTTTAAAAAATTAAAGCATTCAACATCTAAGATGAAAAAATGCAAGAAAATACCTTAGCATGTACTGAATTCAAAGGACACAACTCAACTATCACATGAACTTAGCACTTTTGATATATTAAAATGCAGAGATCTTTACATACCTATATCCCACTTCCTATGTATTAACACATTAACCACCTAAAACTTCAATTTTTATGTACATGCCGCTCGATTCCTATTTTTCCTGCATAGTTTGGGTGATCTGCAGGTACAAATAATGAAAGAATCAAGAGAAGCCGAGTACAAAGAATGATCAAGACGGGCACTTTCCCTTTACAACATCATTAAAGGAGGGGCCAGCGAGAGAGGCAACAGCAAGTGTGTTAAGTAGGGTGCACGTGAGCACGAGTTCAAACACAAACGATACCACAGGAGGAAAGAGCAACCACGTGTCAAACACACGAGAGAGAGAGACAATAGGAATGTGTAAGCCTATCAAAAATAGTGCTAGTAGGATCCTTTCGAGCACGAGCATGAACAAGTGCAGCTAGGCACAAACCCAATTGAGAGAGGAATGAGTTCCACAATGTTAACATATAACAAATTCAGGGTATTCCTATATATTACCCTTAAACTTGCTTCAATTGCGACCATTGGGGCTCTTAGGTTAATGTAGCAACCATCTTAAAGGCATGCCATTGCTGCCACTCCATGCTTGTTGTGCTTGTCATCCTTAGATGTATTATCACCACAACCTTCATATCTATATTTGTTACAGTTGATATATTTATTTCCATTATTAATTTCAACAATGAATTTTTCATCATCACTATTTTAGGATCTATTATTACAATGATCATACATTAAAACAGCTACTTGGATCAAGCGGCGAAGACCATGATCCTTTCAAATACCCTAATTTGTAGAAATCTTTCTGGCTCTAAAATAAAACTATAGTTCAAAGAAGACACAAGAAACATGTATATAACTAACTCACCTGTCAGGCTCTTCCTTCCCTTCTATGATAGCTATTAGATTATGGATTGTCATGATGGTCTCATTTCCCTGAAATAATAACTCAATAAGAAACGTGCAGTTTGTATAATTAAGTGGAAAAAAAGTTCATGAAAACTTTAATAGATCCAAGTTAAACATGAATGGTTCATAAAAAACCTCTGAACTTACCAAATCATAAAAGAAATGAAGAGAAAAAGAATCTTAGATTATAAGAATTCCTATATTACAAGCTCAAGTCAACAAGAATCATCTTATGGGTGGGTCTTCCTTAAGAGTATGAATAAGAATATGTGCATAGAATGTTAGAATAATGGCGATTCTCTTTAATAATATGAATAGGAGTCTGCGTATGAGATATTAGGATGATAGTTCTAATCACATATGCTTGCATAAGTATAGTGCCAAATAAGTATTATTTTTTTGAGTAGGCAAAATCATCAAATGTTTTTTTTTTAAAGTACTGGACAGAACTTATATCGAGCAGAAGAGAAGTGGAGGGTGCAAAATTACTAATTTATCTTAACTACATAAGAAAAAAACTTAAGTTTTAATATTTATATAGAGAAATTACACGTTCCAGAAGTAGGGTTGTCAAAACAGCTCATTGTTCGCAAACAGCTTGTGTTCGACTCGTTAAGAAGCTCGTGTTCGATTCATTTGCTAAGTTAACTAGTTGAATACAAACATTTTTTTTATTGTGCTCGATATATAAACGAGTCAAACACGAACAAAAATTTGTTTGTTCGTGTTCGACTCATTTTGGCTCAAAATACTACTCATTAACTTTATATATATATATATATAT